TTAAGTAGTTTCTTTAGAAACTCCATCGGTTTGACAGAAATTAAAATTGTAAAAATTTTACTGGTCATTTCACAGCTGTTTCAACATGTTTTCAGTGTATTTACAATGCCCCTTTTTTATAAAGGTTCTATTTACTTGTAATTCAAGTATAACTTACACAGTAATGGACAATTCTATTCTCTATTAAGATAATTCTAAGATAAATAACCACATTTACAGAGTGTTCTGAGCTCTATTAGCTTGTATTCTTAAGGATTTTAAGTAGTTTCTTTAGAAACTTCTTCGGATTAACTCGAATTAAAAATATAAACAGCATTCTCGTCATTTCACAGCTGTTTCAAGGTGTTTTCAGTGTATTTACGCTGCTTGTTTTATATTAAGGTTCTATATACTTGTAATTCAAGGGTTCCTTACACATTAATGGACAATTCCATTGTCTATTAAGGTAAATTCTAAGATTAGTAACCACATTTACAGTGTTCTGAGCTCTATTAGCTTGTATTCTTAAGGATTTTAAGTAGTTTCTTTAGAAACGCCATAAGATTGACTCCAACTTAAAATATAAACAGTATACTCCTCATTTTACAGCTGTTTGAACATGTTTTCAGTGTATTTACAATGACCGTTTTATATAATGGTTCTATTTACTTGAAATTCAAGTGTTCCATACATATTAATGGACAATTCCATTGTCTCTTAAGGTAAATTGTAAGATTAGTAACCACTTTTACACAGTGTTCTGAACTCTATTAGCTTGTTTTCTTAAGGATTTTAAGTAGTTTCTTTAGAAACTCCATCGGATTGACTCGAGTTAAAAATATAAACAGTATTTCGTCATTTCACAGCTGTTTCAACGTGTTTTCAGTGTGCTTATGCTGCTCGTTTTATATAAAGGTTCTATATACTTGTAATTCAAGGGTTCAGAAACAGAGACTAAAAAACAATTCCATTTACCATCGCACCAAAAAAATTAAGATACCTAGGAATAAACTTAACTAAAGAGGTAAAAGACCTCTACTCAGAAAACTACAGGACGTTGAAAAAAGAGATAGAGGAAGACATAAACAGATGGCAGACCATACCATGTTCTTGGATTGGTAGAATCAACATCATTAAAATGTCCATACTACCCAAAGCAATCTATAAATTCAACGCACTTCCCATTAAAATACCAATGGCATATTTCACAGATCTACAACGAACTCTCCAAAAATTCATCTGGAATAAAAAAAGGACCCGGAATAGCTGCAGTGATCCTGAGAAAGAAGAACAAAGTAGGTGGGATCTCAATACCAGATATCAAGCTGTATTACAGAGCCACTGTTCTCAAAACTGCCTGGTACTGGCACAGGAACAGACATATAGATCAATGGAATAGAATAGAGAACTCCAAAATTGACCCGAACCAATATGCTCAATTAATATTTGACAAAGGAGGCAAGAACATACAATGGAGTCAAGGTAGTCTCTTCCATAAATGTTATTGGGAAAATTGGACAGATACATGCAAAAAAAATGAAACTAGACCACCAACTTACACCATACACAAAAATTAACTCAAAATGGATAAAGGACTTAAATGTATGACGGGAAACCATAAAAATACTAGAAGAATACAAAGGCAACAAAATCTCAGACATATGCCGAAGCAATTTCTTCACTGATACAGCTCCTAGGGCATTGGAAACTGAAGAGAAAATAAACAAATGGGACTACATCAGAATAAAAAGCTTCTGCATAGCAAAAGAAACCATCAACAAAACAATAAGAAAGCCCACTGCATGGGAGAACATATTTGCCAATGTTATCACCGATAAGGGTTTAATCTCAAACATTTATAGGGAACTCATACAACTTAACAAAAGGAAGATAAACAATCCAATCAAAAATGGGCATAGGACCTAAATAGACACTTTTCAAAAGAGGACATTCCGAAAGCCAAGAGACATATGAAAACATGCTCAAAATCACTAATCATCCAAGAGATGTAAATCAAAACAACAATGAGGTACCATCTCACACCTGTCAGACTGGCTATCATCAACACATCAACAAATGACAAGTGCTGGAGAGGACGTGGAGAAAAAGGAACACTCATGCACTGCTGGTGGGAATGCAGACTGGTGTAGCCACTATGGTAGACAGTATGGAGTTTCCTCAAAAAAACTAAAAATGGAACTCCTATTAGACCCAGTGATCCCACTTCTAGGAATATATCCCAAGAAACCAGAAACACCAATCAGAAAGGATATATGCACCCCTATATTCATAGCAGCACAATTCACCATAGCTAAGATCTGAAAACAGCCTAAGTGCCCATCAGTAGATGAATGGATTAGAAAACTGTGGTACATCTACACGATGGAATACTATGCTGCTGTAAAAAAGAAGGAATTCTTACCATTTGCAACGGCATGGATGGAACTGGAGAGCATTATGCTAAGTGAAATAAGCCAGTCAATGAAGGAAAAATACCACATGATCTCACTCATTTATGGGTAATAAAGACCATTATAAACTTATGAACAAAAATAGATACAAAGGCAGAGCAGCCTCCAACAGACTGTCAATCTACAGCGGGAAGAACGGGGAGGGTTGTGGGCGGGATGGGGGGGTAAGAGATCAAGAGATGGACCTGTATGCATGCATATAAGCATAACCAATGGACCTAAGACCCTGGGGGGTAGGGAAGGCCAGGGGATTGTCAAGGGCGGGGGAAAAAAAGGAGACATATGTAATATTCTTTGTAATACTTTAATTAACAAAACAATTTAAAAAAAGAAAATGCAGTCTCAGGGTAAACATAAAGCCAACTTTTATCCTTTTTGTGAAACAGCAGGGCTTCTAATAATGTCACATGTTTTTCATAGCAGCGTCATACTGAACCCAATACAGAGAAGATCTTATTCATCTTTTTTCTAACTGAATAACCCTTAACAAAACTCAGAGAAAAGAGTTTTTAAGAGAATTGTACTACTTAAAACACTACAAACTTGAACAAGATAGAAACAATACAAAATGAGAAAGCACCGTTGGCTAAAAAAGGTCTAAATAAAACTACTCAGCTGCAACCACAGGCCATCTTTTATGGAAAAAAAAAAATCCAGAATGACTCAGGGTAGAACCAAAAAGATCTCAATATGTGAACATGCTACTTGAAAGCAGAAAAACACTTAAACTGGATTCTGTATTATACAATGACGCAATCCACTGAATATCATTGCTTCCCAATCACAGTAGAGAAATGCTGTGAGAAATGGATATATTACATTCTTTTTTTACAACTAAGTCTTCAAAACCCATGTGTATTTTACACTTAACACCATTTTAATTTGAAATAGCCACATTTCAAGTTTTAATAGTTTAAATTCTAGTGGTCAACATGATGATAGCAACTATCGTATTTTTTGGATATATTTTTATTGATTTTTAGAAAGAGAAGAATGGGGGGAGAAAAAGAGGGAGAGAAAAACATTGATCTTAGAAACACCCATTGGTTGCTTACTGTATGCACTCAATCAGGGATCAAACCCACAACCTAGGTATCTGCCCTAACTGGGAATAGAACCTGGAATCTTTTGGAATATGAGAAGACGCTTCAACCAACTGAGCCACCCAGTCAGAGTGCTAGCAACTACCTTATTATACAATGCAGATCTATTTCATTAATCTCCACATTTAGTTGTAACTGCTTTTACTCATTCTTTAAACATATTAAGTACTATGGAACAGGCACTATAGTACTTATATTAGAGCATGTTTAACCCCAGTGTTTAGAGCTTTGGAAACAACCACAAGTTCTCATATATAGGCATTTTAAAAAATAATTCACTTAAAAATTACTAACTTCACACTGATTATAATATTGCATAATTTTACCTTTAAAGGAAATTATAGAAAATGTTAGACATAGAAGTAGAGAAAATAGCAAAAAACAAATATACTATAGCCATGTATCCAAGTATCTAACCACCTTTTACAAATTTTTTATTTATAGATTTCAGAGAGAGAGAAGGGAGTTGGAGGGAGGGAGAGAAACATTGATTTGTTGTTCCACTTATTTATGCATTCATTGGTTGCTTCTTGTATGTGCCCTAACTGGGGAACGAATCTGCAACCTTGGCATATTGGGACAATACTTTAACAATCTGAGCTACCCAGCCAGGGCTTACCACCATTTTGACAAACTTGTTATCCATCTTCTTTCTCATGAGTATTTTAAAGAAAATTACAGACATTATATCATCTTGCCTGTATCCACTTCAGACATTTTTACATAAACATTTTATAATCACTTAATAATAACAAAATTTCTTAACGTTATTTACATTTGATTCATACACCTCTGAAGACTTAGTATCTATGAGGTTCACCTCCCCTTTTCCAGTGCCGTTTTATTGGTCGAGAAACCAGGTAAATCTCTCTTGAAGAATTACCCATATTTTATATTTAATTGCTTTTAAAATTTGTTCTATTCCCTGAATTTTCTCTGAATTGGGAGTTAGATCTTAATGATTAATTAGATTCAGGTTCAATATTTTTTGGCAAGATGTCTTATTTTACCTCATTAAGAGGAACAACATATTTTGTCTTATTTTTGATGAGGTTAAAATTGATCAGTGAGTTCACATGTTGTCAAGCTGACCAAGTCACAATCAAGTTCCTATCAATCTTTCATCTAATGTTTTTAACCTCTACTAAGAATCCTGCCTAGTCCCATTAACTTCATGTGTTGCAAAATACTCTACTAAAAAACATTACTTTATCAATTTCTTTTCCACATTCACTCCTTTAAGAGAATTTCATTCTAGAATCAATTTCCTCAAGTTTAACATGATTTAAATGGTGATGAATGTCTTCTTCATGTTCATGAACACATTCTTCCTTTAAAATAAAACGTCTTAAGTTAGTTGTGAGCATGAAGTAAAAGAGATCTCTACTTTTAAAAACGTTTCCAATGCTCCTTAACACAAAATTCACAATGGAAAGCTTTCTTACAACTATTTAGTTACATTATGAATTCGCTGATGGTAAGTAAGGTGTGAGTGTTGTCTAAATGCCTTCTTACATTCCTTACAATTGTATGGTTTCTCTCCAGAATGAATTCTCTGATGTTGAATAAGTGATGAATGAAGTCTAAAGGCCTTTCCACATTCCTTACAGTCATAGGGTTTCTCACCGGTATGAATACTCTGATGTTGCCTAAGTTGTGAGAGCAGTCTAAATGTCTTCTCACATTCCTTACATTTATAAGGTTTCTCACCAAAATGAATACTCTGATGTTGAGTAAGTTGAGAGAACAGTCTAAATGCTTTCCCACATTCCTTACAATCATAGGGCTTCTCTCCAATATGAACACCCTGATGTGAAATAAGTTCTGAATAACGACGAAAGAACTTCTGACATTCTTTACATTCATAAGGTTTCTCACCAGTATGAATTCTCTGATGGAGAGTTAGATGATAGCCACGACTAAATGTCTTCCCACAGTCCTTACAATCATAGGGTTTCTCACCAGTATGAATTCTCTGATGGAGAGTAAGTTGTTGCCTCACTCTGAAGGCTTTCCCACAATCCTTACATTCATAGGGTTTTTCACCTGTATGAAGTTTGTGATGTATTCTAAGGCCTGTACTACACAGAAAAGCCTGACCACATTCCTTACATTCATAGCACTTCTCAGCAATATTAAGTCTTTGATGGCGAGTAAGGTGTGCATACTGTCTAAAGGTCTTCCCACATTCCTTACATTCGTAGGGTTTCTCACCAGTATGAATTCTTTGATGAAGATTAAGTTGTCCTTGCACTCTAAAGGACTTCCCGCATTCCTTACATTCATAGGGCTTCTCACCAATATGAATTCTCTGATGTACTCGAAGATCTGCACTACATGTAAAGATCTTTCCACATTTTTTACATTCAAGAAGTTTGTCAGGAGTATGAATTCTCTGATGTCGACTAAGGTGGGCACACTGTCTAAATGCTTTACCACAATCTTTACACTCATAGGGTTTCTCACCAGTATGAATTCTCTCATGGAAAGTAAGTTGTTGGCGTACTCTAAACGCCTTTCCACATTCCCCACATTCATAGGTTTTCTCTCTATTATGAATTCTCTGATATAAAGTAAAAGATTTGAGTTTTCTGTTAGTGGGCCTTTTTACAGAGGTGTTTTTTTTCACTTGCCTGAAATATCCCATTTGAGGACCTTTTTGTCTCTCAAACTTTTTATATTCACATTTTTTTCTGAAAAGGCAGTCTTCCAGGCTACAACTTCTAATGTTTTCCATTATCTCCCACTGAGATAAATTCATTTCATAAATGTCCTTTTGAGATAAATTTTTGGATTCCAAATCTGAAAAAAAAAAAGAATATAAATGCATGCTATTTCCTTATTCTAAAAAAAAAAATAATAAACAAATAAGCTAACAAAAACTTTAAAATCGGGAAAAGATGAAAAGAAAAAATAGAAAAGAAAGCTGTTGAAGTAAATGGACTAGAAAACTCTAATTATGTAATTTGAAGAAAGTTAGGGGAATAAAAAAGAATGGTAAGATCAGATTATTTGGATGCAAATCAAAGTTTGAGAATGTCTACTTGAAATTTTTAATTATTACTTTTTCAAACTGGATTGGAAACATTTTCATGATCTTTGTATATTTATATATATATATATGTATTTTAAAATTATAAACATCTTACCATGAATAACATGGCCTGTTTACCATAAGATATTTCAAAACACTGATTGTCCCCTTGCTCCCTAAGTCCTATGTCATGATCTTTCCATTTCCTAGAGATATTTCCTGGATCATTAAAATTCCCCCAAAATGCTGATGTAGGTTCTCCACATGGTTGGATTCCTTTTTATGTAA